GTACAGCAGGCACCTCGGCTCTGCCGCCCGGGTCAGCAGCTCAAAGGGGGCGGCCACAGGGTCTCGAGGCCTTGGAGTCACACCAGTAGCACTCGCGCTCTGCGGGACTTAAGGAGACGGGTTAGGTGACTTAGGGCCAGTCCCGCCGCCCACTTCTTTGAGCCTCGCTGCTGCTCGTGGGTAAAGCAGGCCGGGGGACGACACCCTGGGTCCCGGGCACGTACTAAGCCTTCAGGAGACCAGAGCTGCTGTTCTTACTGTCACTATCACAGTCCTGGTCACCTTGGCCAAGAGGGAAGAGCCCTTCGCACACCGCCTACCTCGGAGAATGTGACCCCAGATTCCCAGCTGCTCAGGCCCCAAACGTGGGGCTCATCCTCGACCCCTCCCCTGCCTTTCAATGTCTAGGGAAGGCGCGCAGTTGCACCGCCAGAATCCACCAGAACCCGACCTCTCCTCTGCACTGCACCCTGCCGCCTCCTCGCTGCAGCCGCCTCCTCGCTGCAGCCTCCTCCTCGCTGCAGCCGCCTCCTCGCTGCTGTCCTCGGCCTCCCAGTGTGTCCTCACAGCTAGCTCTTATCCCTCTTTCTGTCCTCACCCTGCTCTCTTTCTGGGCGAGCACATCCACTTTCAAGGATACCTCTTGGATGAGGATGCCACAGCTGGATTCCCATCTGGGTCCCTGCCCCACCCCCACCCAGATCTCCAGATCCCAAACTCAACAGAACATTCCATGGACCCCTCAAACCCACCATCTGGCCCCAAACCGCCACTGCTCCCAGGTTTCCTGCGAGGCAGTTGTAAACAACCATTGTGGTGCATTTAGGGAGGGCACTCCCTGAGCCAGAGGACCTGGGGATGTATTCAAGGAGTTAATGGCGATTTACTATTAATAGCTAACACTCATTGAGCACCTGCTGTGTGCCCATCCTCTGCTAACTTGCAACTTCCTTACTTACCTTGTTTATTGTCTCTTTCTCATTGCCTGAATCTAATCCTCTCCAGGGCAGGGATTTGAGTCTGTTTTGTTCACTGTTCATTGTATTACAATGGCTGGCATGCATGAAGATTCTTGCATTAATGAGTGAAGGTTAAATTATAATTTAAAAAGCCTAACATCAACTGAGCACCTGCATGCTTATCACCTACTACTGAAGTATATTTTACTTATTTATCTTGTTTGTTGTCTGTCGCCCGAGGACCGGGGGCGGGAGCGGGGGTTGGGGGGGAGGAAGGTTTGTTGCCTAGCTTTTGTCCACCTTTGTCTCAACAAATATGTTGAATAATTAATAAATACTAAATTCTAATGATAATGGCTAACCCACTACATGATTTACTTACGAATATTTGTATGGTACTGTATTATCTGCCTCCACCTTTTAGAACATAACCCCCCCCAATAAAAAAATTTCAAAAAGAAAAAGTAACCGAAGGAAATAGAATATAAACCCCCTCGGGGTGGGAATATTCTGAGTACATACTGTCTAACAGGAGCTGTGGCGGGCTGGGGTTCAATGGCGACCAAAACAGACAAAATCCTGCCCTCCCATCACAATGGGGAGGGACTGCTAATGGGCGCGGGGACTCTTTCCGGGGGGATGAAAATGTTCTAAAATTCAATTATGGTGATGGCTGCACAATTCCGTGAATATTCTAAAATCCGTTGAATTGTATACTTTAACTGGGTGGACTTTATGGGATGTAAATTATATCAGTAAAGCTGTTTGAAAAGTCCTGCCTTCACAGAGTTTATGTCATAGAAGGAATAGAGAGAAAGGGAGAAAACAACATAAATAATGTGTATAGCATATTAGAAGGTGATCAGCACACGCTAGGCACTCGATAAATGTTGATCCAGTGACTCCCAGCTGTCTCCTTGCCCCCAGATGGCCTCCCTTAACCTCTCCTTGTTTTTCTTCTCTTCCCACTTGCAGGGCCTGCTGTCCACATCTCTTCCCTGAGCTACCTGCTGGGACATGGCGCTGCCAACAAAGCCTAGCGGCCCCAACCTGGGCCTGAGCTCGGGGAGCCTTAACTCTCAGGAGAAGAGCCCTGGGGCTCGAGCACGCTCTGGGGGTGCTGGCAAGCAGCTGCCTGAGTACAAGGCGGTGATGGTCGGTGCTAGTGGAGTAGGCAAGAGCGCACTGACCATCCAGCTGAACTACCAGCGTTTCGTGGAGGACCACGACCCCACCATCCAGGATTCCTACTGGAAGGAGATGGCCCTGGGCCGTGGGGGCTGCGTTCTGAATGTGCTGGACACAGCAGGGCAGGCCACTCACAGAGCCCTGCGTGACCAGTGCTTGGCTATTGGTGATGGTGTGCTGGGTGTTTTTGCTCTTGATGACCCCTCATCTCTGGTCCACCTGGAGCAGATGCGGGCCACCTGGGGCCCTCATTTCACCCAGCCCCTCGTCCTTGTGGGTAACAAGTGTGACCTTGTGACCACTGCTGGAGATGCTCATGCCGCTGCTGAAGCCCTCGCACAGAGCTGGGGGGCCCCCTTCGTGGAGACCTCAGCCAAGACCCGGCAAGGTGTGGAGGAGGCCTTTTCTCTGCTCATCCATGAAATCCAGAAGTTCCGGGAGGCCATGGCAAAGGAGGCCAAGGCCAAGCCACGTGGGGTTAAGGGCCGGCGCCAGAAGGTTATGTGCCACTGTGGCTGCTCTGTGGCATGAAGGTCTTAGTCAAGAAAAGTGTACCCTCCCCCAGGCCAGGGTGATGGTTCCCTTGACATGAGACACTAGGAGCAACTGGCTGTGTGGGACACTGTTGGTGTCCTGGGGATAGTTGAACGCCTCTCTTGTTTTCATTTGGTGAGGGGCTTTTTGGCAACATGGGGGTGTCTGGTGTTCGTTATTAATGTCACATTGAGAGATCTTGCGCAAATTAAGTAAATTGATGTCAGGTTTCAAAGCTGCCTCTATGCCGAGTGTTATGTGGGTGGGACTGAGACTGGGTAGAATATTACTTGAATTATGAAAATTTTTTCATTCAAGAAATTGGGGGGAGCCCACTGTGTGCCAGGCCCTGCTTTGGGTTCAAGGGATGTAGAGGCAAACAAAACACTTAAACACTCCTGCCCTGGTAGATATGACATAAGGCTAGATAGTAATAAAGGCTATGTATTAAAGGCAGGTGATGGAAGAGATTGACAGGTGGTCAAGGAAAACCTTATTGAGTAGGTGACATTTGGGAAAAAACTGGCTGGCAGATATCTGGGGCCAGAGAGAATAGTCAGTGCAAAGGCCAGGGTTACAAGCCGCTACCACCATAGCAACTCCCAGTATCTTCAGGACCTGGGGCAAGAGTACAGATAGGCCTCTATGCTATAACTAATATTTAAACATTACAAAACAGGCTAGCAAGCATAAAAATACATCCTCTCCTCCTACCTTGACGGATACACTTAATCATCTGGATGCCCAGGCTCTTATATCTCAGACGCCTCAGTTCTGTTTCAGAATGTGACTCTGGAGAGCTGACCCCTGCCAGCTCCCTCACCGGCCCCCTCCCCCTCATGTGTGCCCCTGGAAATCCCAGCCGACTCTACTGAGCTCTACTCACAAGCCTCACAAACAGCACCCAGGAAGATGGACCTCCTGGAAGATGCTGGTGAAGTCCCTGAAATGGCCTCAAAGCCTCCTGGGCTGAGCATGGGGTGAGGCCTAGAAGAGGTGCACAGGATCCAAGTGGGCACTGCCATTGTCCATGTGGATGCCTCCCCCAGTGAGGAGAGGCATAGTAGACTGAGCAGGTGGTGTCTCTGAAGTGAGAGACAGGGGCCCTTCTACCCTCTTCTAAGGGTGACCACCACCGCTCAGCCCACCAGCCCCTAGAAACCGCCACTCACAGACAAGCACAGTTGCTTCAGGTCGCGTTTATTGTGGGGGCGGGATGGTGGGGGGTTGGTGGAGATCTTGGGGTTGGAGGACAGCCACAGCGGCTGCCAGGGTAAGCTGCTCTCGACGTGCTGGAGGGGAGCAGTCCGGGTGGCGAGGCGCTCCTGGATCTCAGGTCGCGCGGGATCTGGGCAGGGCTCAGGGCGGCAGGAGGCGGCGCGCCGGCGCCTGGGGCGCAGGGGTCTCCAAGCGTTTCACGCGGAGCAGCGCCCCCAGCACGCCCTCAGGGGGCACCTCAGGGGCCAGATCCTGGTCAGTGGCGCGGCGGAGGCGGCGCGGGGTGGCCACAGCCTCGGAGTCAGCGCTCCCCGAGAGGATTCTCCCCAGCAAGTACCTGCAGCGCCCAGCAGAATGCAGAGAGGATGCATCCACGTGTCACCGCCCCGGCCCCGCAACCCTATCCGGGGACCGGACCATCTTCAGCCCCCTCCCCACCCAGGCGTCCTCAGCCCCTGCTTTCAGGAGACAGAAGTCCCCGCCTCCAATCCCAGAAATATGACCCCCTTGCCTCCCTCTCCCCCCACAAACCAGGGATCGGAGCCCCCCTCCCCAGGACCGGGAGTTCACGTCCCATACTGTCCCCCCCCGACAGGAATCTTTGCCCCCACACCCTGGATGGAAGATCGCACTCCCTCCTAGGGCCCCAGAACCCCTGCCCTCCCCAGGACTAAGATGAAGCAGCCCACCCCCCCCCCGGCCCCTTGCCTCAGCAGCTCGGGGTCCACGTCGGGCGTCTCGTCGCCTGAGTC